TTTTATCTGTTGTCCACAGAAATCCATGTTTGTGTATCTTGATGGTGCCAATCAGGGCACACTGAGTGGAGCTCTTCAGTATTACTGGCAACTACTTTCATCAACATGGTTCACAGATACAGGACTCTTTGAACACAACAGGGGAAGTTTGAATGCACACAACTCAACTGGTCAGCTTAAATGTCAAAGTGCATTTTTCTACCTTCAGAATAATTTCAAGACAATTTCCTACATTTCTCCCAGAATGCAGCAGCTGCTGCATGGACTGTTCCTGCCAAGAGCCTGGAAGCTTGTTCTACTGCACAGACTTCCAGTTTCTTGAAAAAATTTTGTAGATTAAGCAAGAGGCGCCCAATGCTCATACTTCTCAACTAGCTGTAGAACAGATCTGTTTCCCATTCCTAGCTGGAGTTTCAAGGACTTCCTCTTTCCAAGTGCTTCCTCAGTTGTTCTGTGCTATAGGGACCACTGTCTCCTTGCTTCTTGTATCAGGACTTGATTGTGTTCTGTCGCATGGAAACCTGAGCCAAATGGGAGAAGCACAGGGATGGTGGCTGTGTCTTTCAGGCCAGCCTGTCAGGCAGGGCAGCCGCCATGAGGGCAGCTCCCAGAGTATGTATTTACACCATTGAGCTCAACCACGGTAACTGAGTGGGGTTAGCACTCAGCACAGTAAGCTTTCTGCCTTCATATATGTATATATTTTTCTTGACTATCAAAATTTACCCTGATTATGACATTATCAGTTCTTAAAAGGAGCAGTTACCTTTAGTCTGTCTTCCCTTTTTTCCCTTTCAAATGAACTTCCCAGAGCCCAGATTTCCGCTGTGAGTTCTATCATATTTGTGTTATTTCCTCTGTCATTTACTTGGGTATCTTTGACTTATATTTTTCTTTTCTTTGTTCCTGAACAAAAACTGATTTCTTTTGAGGAAGTTAGGCAAGACTTATGTGACCAATATGCTCCCAAGCCTCACATGAGGGAAGAGCACGCCCAGTAAGGACTGTCACAGAGCAGCCCCGTACCAGGCACAGCACCAGATGCTTCAGGCTGCTTCTTACGGTGGGTTCACTGAACACGAAATAAAACAGACCCAAACCAAGGGCTTCCGGTCCTCAAACTAAAGTGCAATTCCAGCAAAAATCTTACCATTCCAGAACGTTGAAATAGCCTAACCAAATCATCTTCCAATTTAAGGTTTTTTTTTTTAAAAAGCACGAATATACTAAGTTAAGGCCAGGCAAATTCTATAGTCTTACTCAGATGACTTCCAAACTCAATGGCACCTCCCACCTCTTCGTGTTCACTCTTTAGCTCCCAAATTATGAGTGTCTCTCGGCTGTATTGCCTTTCCATTATTTTTAGTGCTAGGATGACTATCATTAACTAATATGTGCCATTATGTTTCTCATTAAAATGTTTCATCTGAGCATTTAATACGAATATTTGTGTACAATGCTGTTGTTACTATTGTCGCAATTTTTCTTTCATCATTCCAAAGATGAGGCTCTGGCTCATTTATCCCCCCTTATAGAGGGAGGGTTACAATCTAGCAACTCTTATTTAATTCCCACATGCTTTTGGAAAACATAGTAAAAAGAAGACATGAACCTTGAAGTAGATTTAGAAAGGAAGGAGGCATGAATTTCAGATGCAATCAATGTTTGAAGTTGTTTAAGGCATTAGGGCATAGTTTAAGAGTTCCTTAAGCAAAAGTGGAAGAAATCAGTTTAGTGATGGGGGATTTTATTTTGGTGAAGTAAGAGGGAAAGTCAGAAGGGAGATGAGAGAAGTACTTTTTTGGAACCACTTGATTTTGTGCAGAGCAGGAAAATTATCTTCTCTCTGCATTTTGCACCTCCCCCACTGCCATATGCTTTCCTAAAGTTTCCTTTTTCTGTACTTGAAAGGACCAAAGATTTTAATAGTATTCATGCATTTGAAATGCTAGGCCATTCCCAGCTTCCTCTGTTTTTGCATTTATGACAAGAAGTAATTTTAAAAATCCACTGTTATGTGATAAGGTAAAAATAAAGTAAATGATAGTTTAATGAAAAAAGAATTGAACTAGAAGGCAGTTGACCTTACATAAGCTGTGGTTTAAGGTCACAGCCAGATTTAGGGCTGAATGACAGGTCAGTGTCCATCCATGTCTAAGAAAGTTCATTTTGTAGGTTACCACAGTGAACACTAAATAGATACCCCAGAGGCCTGAACAACTGGAAACAATGTCATTAAAAGGTCACATTTACCTCAAGTGTCTTGAATTCAGATGTGATATTAAAAGTGGACAGCACAATACAAGGAAAGGCACAACTTTCTTTACAGAGGAATATTTGCAAAGTAAAATATGTTTATGCCTGATGCATCATGCTCTGTTATGTGAACATCAGTTTGTGGGTGTCCAACAATCAGAGCCACTACTTCATCAAGCAGAGAAATATCCTTCCTGTTTTTGGGAAAATGGTACATGGCTGCCAGTGGACAAAGAGTCAGACAGGAGGCAGCTGACTGGGGATGGTGAGGGGCATGCTGTGGTGAGCTGCAGCAAACCAGGGGTGCGTACAACCCATCATTCCCATCAAGAAAAAGTCTCCTTCTACAACCTCTGATTTCAGCAACCTTCTACCCAAACTGCTTTTTCCTTTCAGACCTCTGGAAGATCATTTTAATTGGAATTTGTGAAAGTAATGTTGGGGTGGAGTCAACCCAGCAACCAAGGTTCCTGGACCCACAGCACCCGCTGATGGCTAAACATGGAAACTTTCTTTTCTCCATGATTCTTGCATCTGTCTCAGTGAAACACTGCCAGGCTTCCACCGGCCCCGACTCTGCTCATTCCATCATGGACCACTAAGTTCTCACAGAGCTGTGTGGCCTCCTTTGCCTTGCCTTTTTTTTTTTTTTTCATTTCTTGCTCAATTATTTCAGAAACATCTATCTCCCTGTTGCTTTCCCTTGCCGTTCCACTTACGAATCCTCAAATTACTGTGATTCTGGTTGCTAAGGCTGCCTATCAAGAAAAAAAATCCCCCTACATTTAGAAGTAAAATAAGACATAGTGTGCAACCCGTAGCATGAATCTCCAAAGCCCTTTGAGATACCCAGATGTCTTCCTCAAAACCTGCGTATCTACCCCCATTCTTTCTCCAAGTAACACTGATTTTTCCTCAACATTATTATTTTCCTATTTATTTAATTGCCAAAACTGTTTTAGTTTGTTCCCTACTGTTTCGTTGCAAATATAATTCAGCTACAATAAGGGTTAAGTACATTCCTGTGGGCTATTTTGGAAACCAAAGCACAATCTTTCAGCATTAGTTCTCTATGGGAAAGCATGTTCAAAGCTCCACACAGTTGCTTTAGAATGAACTTTTGGAAAAAGCTACCTATTGTAATTTAACATTGGAGATTTTTTACTGGGAGTGGTCAAAAACAACCCTATTGATGTCTGTATTTTCTGGTTTTCATCTATTGAACCAAGACATCTACTGGCATCAGTACTTAGAAAGGTTTTCAGGTGTGACTTCTCTGGGCAGGCATAGATTCTTCTTTTATCAAAGGAAAAATATGCTAGCTAGATCCTGATTTGATATGTATTTTAAAATACTTCTTAAAATAGAAATGACTTTGATGTGGATTATTAAAATACCATTAATTTTATGCTTAATTCTTCTGACTTAGGAAATTTATTCACAAGCTAGAGGTCAGTAATTAGAAGCATGTAAAGTCCTGACTAAACAACAAATTGAAAGATTTCTTTTGCAAATTAACACCAGTGGCTTCATTTTTCCAGTTTCTAATAGTTAAAGGTAAAAGCTTATAAAAATTGGTATGAAATAACTGAATTGTTTAATAAAATGTTAAATGAGCTATTGTGACCATATATAGATACATATGAAAAACAATTATAAAATGCCTTCATAAAATATTTTCCTAATTTGGACATAATTCAAAGTAATGCTTACATAGAATTTTTTTTCTTTGAAATGATTCCCATATTCATATAATTGAAAGGATTTTCTCCTTTAAAATAAAACAAATGCACATCAGTTAAAGTAACAGGTAAATGCCACCTATCCAATTTCATCAAAATAATGTGAATATGGATTTTCTACACAAATTCTACATGCACAGTAGTATAACAATAATGAAGAATGGCATAAAATAGTAGTGTAGTACAAAAGGTATTTTAAATGATTGTTCATCAAAGAACATTACTTGAGTTGACATACATTTTTCTGAAAAAAGATACTTGCTTTCCAATAATGTAGAACTTTTGAATTCGTGAAGTTTTGGAGGTACAAATTAAAACATTCAGCATTAATGTTTTTGAAAGCCTTACGTTTAAATTATTTTCTCAGGATCCAGAGAAAACACCAGAGGAAACATAACCAGCCTGAATTGTTTAAAATGTATTTTCCCTTTAATTAAATAAGAAACATCTGTCTAGGGATTTTGGAAATGAATGTAATCTATCCACACTCTGCCTGTACTAGTTTGCATCCAATGTCCGATATTTTGAAAGAAAATTCTTTCTTTCTGTAAAGAATTAAATAGCAACATGGAGCAATGTCTAGGTCTGTGCAGCTGAGTCTTGCCTCCGGACTTTGGGCACTGGAAATGCTAAAGCTCACTGCCTTTTTCCAGATCTGTTCCTGGGAAGCAATCAAATTGTCTCCATAATCAAGGTTAGGGTGTAGCATTTATATTTTTCTGAAGCATCCACTCACCCTGAAAATGCTTGTCTCAGACAGTAAGGAAACACAAGTTACTAGAATGCATCCAAATACTCAAGGTAAACTATCGTTCCCTCTTTGGGGTTCACTCAGCATTTTCCTCCCCTTCACTCTGGCTTAAAGAAGCTGATTTCTCTAGGGAACTGAACAGACCCATTAGACAGGCCAAATGAGTACAAAGCAAGTGGGGAGTTGACTCCCGGATGGCCCTGAATCTTTGAAACGAGAACTCACGGATGAGAAAGGCAAATATGACTTACTGGTACTGTCAAACGGTATCTGCTTGCACTGTGCAGACCCCTCGGCGGGCCACGGACAGTAATAGATGGCTCCCCCTTCCACGATGTCTGGCTGGCTGGTGTTGGCTTTGGGCGCCCCCACCAAGACACTCGCTCTGCGAAAGGGTAGGAGAAAACCAGTCCTTGGGAATCATAAAAGTGCACGCATGCGATGCAGTCTCTGTAGCAGCCTGCCCACTGAGACTAGGGTCGGGGTTGGGTGTAGAAACGTATTTATGATGGACATCAACTGTCAACTTTGATTTCCTCTTGGAAACCTAAGGGCGTCTGAAACCTGGTTTGAAAGAGGGCGCAAATAGTCCTAATTTTTCTCTAGGTGGAGCTCTGTATACAGTGAGATGAGAGAAGAGAAAAATAAATAGCAGAGGACAGAGCCCAGCTGCTTGTAGTCGACAGCACTTGCGCCCAGACACTTAATTGTTACAGGCTATGTATAAACAGACCGTGTTGTGGTCTCTGTTTTAACTGGCTGAGTCTGTTGGGTCTCGTTTTCCCCTTTGTATGATGCTCGAGTCTGCACCAGAAACTCCCCAGGACTGGAGTGTCCTATGAAGTGCTGTGTCTCTAGAGCAAAGATCACGAGGCACATCTAACATGAAGGGGAGTGGAGAGGCTAGTGGCCAGAGGGGAGCCGGACAGGACCCCAAATGGGCAGCGGGGTGGAATCTCAGGGATCGCCTTCTATCAGGCTGCGGGACCCCCTGCAGCCGGGCCAGCACCCACCCAACTCGTGGCGGGTTCCGGGGTGCGCGAACTCCCCGCGCGAGGCGACTTACGTGCGAGCAGCAGGTATGTGGAAGTCCACCGCGTAGCCGAAGTAGCTGCCCTCCGGCCCGCTGTACACCGTGAGCTTGTCCACGTCCAAGTTGAACGCCTGCGAGGCAGGGGGCCACAGCATCCCCAGCGCCGCTGAGAAGTACCAGAGGGGCGCGGGCAGTTGCGCCCGGCTGCCCCGGGGACCGCGGCGGGCCCCGGCCCTCATCGCCCTTCGCCCGGCGTGTGCTCACCGGGGAGCGGGCGCCGAGAACCTCGTCGGGCAAGTGGCGGGGGCGGCGGCTGGCGGCCCCCAGCTGCCCGCGTGCCGGTGGGAGCGCGCGGCGCGTCCGCGGTGACAGCCCCGGCGATCGGCCGCGCGTCCCCTGCGGTCTCCTCCCCGCCAGCTCCTGGGCTGGCCGAGGGGATCCGAGCCCTCCTCTGGCAGCGGGCGGGGGCCGGGCGCTCTCGCGGCGCCTCCTAGCGACGGGTCCGCGGGCTGCGCGCTGGAGCTGGCGACGCCCGGGCCGCAGTTGTCCTGTTGGCGGCGGCGCCAGGTGCCCGCTTCCGTTGCCCGGCCTTCCAGGGCAGTCGCATCCCAAGGACCATCTGAATTTCGCACGTGCCAATTCCAGCCATTGCTTTCGGAGCAGTGCCCCCGCGTGGGGCGAGCATCTGCTCCAGGTTCTCCGAAATGAAAGAGGGTGAAGGCGCACCCAGCACCAGGCGAGAGAGAGTCCCGCACTTCTCATGGCCTTTGCAGTCTGACAGCCTCTCGGGGTGCGCGGTTTGTTCGTCTGTGAGTTAAAACTTAAATCCAACAATTCTGTGCTCCGCCACCTCCCCTCAAAGGTAAACAAAGCCCCCAGATCTTATTTAGGTATTTCTCAAAGGGTCATGTTAAGTGATGGTACTGAATCTTCCCATGACCCTGTGTAGTGGTGAAGATCAGCAAAATTAGAAATGTTCGAATTGACAGTTTACTGTCAGTAGGGGTAGAAGATATAAGTTGGAATCTGCAAGAGTTCAAACTTTGATTCCAGTCCACAGAATTGTTGATCTCTTTCTGTGTCCTCTGATTGGGGAAGGGAACAAAAAATAAGGAGGTGGAGAAGGGAAGTCCTCGTATAATGGTCGCCCAGGCAGTAGGACTAAAGCACAAATTGCAATTACGTGTCAAACTGTGTGGGGCTGGGATTGAAGAGAAATGAAATGTAGACGCAGGAGAGGTAAGTAATTTCCCAAGTATCTTAAGGAGATTTGGTTGCAGATGTAGACAGGCAGAAATGTGAATAGGATGCTTGGATTTGGTCATTGTGGGTGGAGAAGTTGAAGGAACAAATTAAAGATGCAAAGTCTGGGAAGCAATGGTTGTGCAAGGGATTAGAACAAGAGTATGTTAGGCAATAGGGATGGATCCCCTGAGGCAGAAGATCTGAACAACAAGAACATTTAATGAGGCTGAGAGAGCCAGTTCTAGAGCAGAGGCATGATGTGCTGTATTGCCAATGGGTTTCAGACCCGGGCAAGTTTGCTATGGATTCAGTGTGACCAAAGAAAATGACAGCAAAATGTTCTTGGGGTGAAAGGATTATACCAAACTTTATTTCCAGGTGTCAGGTCAGTCACTAAAATCCCGTTCACTCAGAGCGAGTCTGTATGCAGCAAGCCGGTCTCTGCCTCTGGGCCCCTCTGTCCACACAGCTGTCCTCCGAGCCTCTCTGCCTGCACAGTTGTCCCACACAGCCGTCCTCTGGGCCTCTGTCCTTGGTGCTGTCACCACTCCAGCCCCTGCTCTGCTGTCCTGCAGCTTTGCAGCCCTGCCACCATGTTGCGCCCAGAGCACTGGGCGGAGCTCTTTATATAGAGTCAACAACCATGTATTGCCCACAGGTGTGCATTGAGCTAGTCAACCATGGCCAGGTGAGAATCCTGGCCACAGGAACTCTCATTTTATCTACATGTGCCTACAGGGATTCAAAAAGTTTAGTGGCAGAATGTGTGTGTAGAGGGAAGGGGAGTGGTTGTTACAAGGCTGAGAAGGCAAAGCAGCTGTTGCACAAATGCCCTGGTTGATAAGGACCTCAACTTGTTGAAAGAAGGAAGGGAAGGGAGGTCATAATGTCAATGAGAAGGAAGAGAGTCAGAAGACTGATGACACAGTGCAGTCACTGTGAGTCTGAAAGCATCAAGGTACAAGAGAAAAGTAACAAAGAGTAGCAATGGAGCAAGGAGAGCAGGATGGGAGGTAAATGGTGAGTCAGATGCTGGGCTTGAATTTGAGTTACCAGGTGCTGGGAGGATAAACTGCAATTCAGGGAAGTGCTCAGCCTGGTGGTGCAGATTTGGGAGTGTGTCCACAGAGAATCTATGAGTTCACTGACAAGCTGGACTTTCTCATCTATCTTAATCAGAACTCACTTGGGAGACTGATTTGTGTTTTATGTCTATCTTTGCTTTGATCTCTGTAAAAATACTAAAAATTAATAAGCTTTCAGAAGATTACCTGGCAAATCATCACATCTGGATAATTTCCTAACTGGATAGCCCTTTCCCAGACAAGGACTTAATAGTAGATGGTAGAAAACTCATTTCTCAGTCCAGAAGTTCATTTGTGTTGGGCACAGAGACTGCTACTTTAGTCAGCTTACTATCGTGAATTAAAGTAATCTTCCCTATAGTAAATTTCAATGAGTAATTCACACATAACATATGCATGGGCATATTCAGAGCTCTGGCAGACACTGAGGCTAAGGAATAACCTCAACTTGACAAATTTCTGATACTGTCATGCTGAAATTTGGAAATTTGTCATATTGCAGGCAAGCCTTCACTTGAAGTTGAACACCTAATAGGTAGAAAGTAGCAGTGTAAGCTGAGACGTGCACTTGGCCCATACAAGACTCACAAGGCAGAGCAGCTACATATTGTGAACGCTCTCATTTGTGTGGGGCAGCAAATCACCAGGTATCCCCTTATGTACTCCATTGCTTTGTAATATTGCTGGCATGTTCCTTATCTTTTTATGCAAAATAGGGTATGTAGTGAAAGAAAATTCTACTTATTGCCATGTAATTGGATACATATACTTGTTCCTTTCTTCTAAAACACACTTATTCTTGACTTACACAACAAGCCCACATTTATAATAATACCACTTTCCACTTTACAGATGAAAGCATTAAGGCTGAGAGAGGTACAATAAATCCACATATTTCCAGAGCAAGTAGTGGTGTGATTTGAATCCAGGAATGTCAGATGCCCGAACCAGTTTCTGATGCTATTAGGTCTATAAGGATATTTTCAAAAGTTATGCTAATAATGAGAAATCACCTTTCTGGAGGTAAGTATGCTTTACAGGGCACCTTTTGGACATGCTTGTGATTGAGAGATGGCATAAAGCTGCTGTATACTTTGCTAAAATGTCTTGGAAAAGGGTTTGGTGGCACCGTGGCATTGAAAGAGTGGAGGGAAAGCAAACTAATTTGATGCCCTTTGACCTCCCTGGGAGGCCAAGAGCCTGGGAGAGTAGTAAATCTCCTTAGAAGCCAGAGGGGAAAAAGCTACAATAATTGCAGGGATAGGATAGGTGTCTTGCACATTTCACAATTCTGACACATGGGAACCATGCCAATCAGTAAGATCTGGGGTACTGTCAAAGAAACACATGGACAGTGACAGGTCTCATGCTGAATGAGGAGTCTGATGTTTTAAAGATCTACTAGCACTGATTTATTTGTCAGAAAAGCAAGTCTGGGAATTGTTTATCATGCATGTGTGTACATGTGTATGTTTAATACTGGGAAAGGTATACATAGTTTTTCCCTGAAAAGAAAAGAAAGGAACCCAAAGGTCAAAGATGGAACAGATTTGGCTGAAACTTTCCAAAAATAAATAAGTAAAGAGCATCACATGAAAAAAATGATCTCTGGGTAGTAGCCATGTACAGAGTACTTAAAAATGGAGATGCTGTAACATTTAACCATTACTCCATACTTAACAGAAGACCAAATACATTTGTAACTTAATAACCAATTGTTATTCCTGACTATGTCTAAATCTTTCTTTGTATGATAAAATGTGATCCTGCCTTCAATCTGGGGTAGGAAAGTCCCAACATGATTACTTCATTATTACAACCAGATTTTCAATATGTTAATTAAACCATTTACAAAATAAGCCAATATAAAACAATGTGTCCTTGAAGTTTCTGTCTGCTTTAAGAATGAATGCACCTAAAATGGAAAACAGTTTTCAAGCTCTTTTTGTATTTTGGGTAGTTGAGATGATACCAGATTTTTCTTTTGCCCAGCTGCACTCGGTTTTTCTGCAATAGTAGAAACAATTGCTTGGTAGAAACTGGTCAGTTCAACTCACTGAGGGCAAACAACTTTTAAATTTGTTAAGTGTCTCTGCTGACATAAGCTCATGTCTGCAAATTTTCTCTTCTGGTCCCTGGAGGGTGAATCTCATCACAGTAAAATACTTCTTTTTTTTTTCTTGTTGATAATTTTGTTTGTAATTCTCTTTTATGATTTTCCTTCCTGATTTTATTAGCCACTTTTAAGTTAAAAGTGCTACAGCAGTGGCCCCTGTGTCGGCAGACGTTCAAGCACAGCCAACTGTTAGTTTAGCTAAAGGAAAATTCCCACTAGTCAAAACCAGACTCCAGTTTGATCTCTTTTTAGAATGAGCCTTTAAATACAGCTCTCCTTTAAACAAAAATAAAACTAAGTAAAACAATTCTTCCTCTAAAGGGAAGGTAACTAAGGAAAATGATGCTGTTCCAAAACTTTGACATTTAGGGATAAATCTTTCTGAGACACAAAGCCCCAGGGGCACCTGAACTTATACTCAGGATCTTGAATGATTTACACATTTCAGTCAGGGCCAGTTCACTCTAGAATCCTGAAAAATCTACACATGGCTGTTGGGTTGGCAGCTTGCACCTTTTAAGTAACTATTGGCCGATGTGACTGAAGAAAACTTCCAGAGGAAAAAACTCACAACATCTTAATTTTAAATTTGGAGTCTGGCAATGGGGAGTCCAATTCCCCAGGCGCTAATGTTTGGGTCCAGTGCCAAGGGAGGCTGTGGGAATATATTCAAGGTTTTAAAAAAATTATTATTAAATTTCAATGAGGTGTCTGGATTTTGGGCAGCAGCACTCTGGCCTTTGGGAAAGAGGATCACTGGAAATGGGGGCAAGGCTGTCTCCCTGCCTGTACACACGCTGGGTGTCTCAGTCCATTTAGGCTGCCACAGCAAAACACTATGAACTGGGTGGCTTGTAAACAACAGAAACTCATTTCTCACAGTTCTGGAGACTGAATGTTTGAGATCAGGCTGCTCACATGGTTGGGTTCTGGTGAGGGCCCTTTTCTTCAATAAGAAAGAGTGTCACCTTCTTATTATATCTCACATGGCTACACGGTGGAAAGTTATTGAGAGAACTCCCTGGGGTCCCTTTTATAAGGTCACTAATTCCCTTCATGAGGTCTCCACCCTCATGTCCTAGTCAACCCCAGAAGTCCCACCTCCTACTACCATCACATTGGGGGGTAGGATTTCCACATGAATTTTAGGAGGACACAAACATTCAGCCCCTTGCACCAGGGCTTGAAATCAGGCT